GAGGAAGAGCTGTACCTCATGGTCAGGCTGGCATATTCCAGGAACTCAAGGCTAAACATTTGGAAATCAATCTGTGCAATTCACCACATTAGCAGAGGAAAGGAGAAAAACCCCTATGATCACCTGATGGATACAGAAAACACTTTGATAAAATTCAGTAGCATTTATGATAAAAATTCTCAGCAAATTTGGAGTAGAAATGTCCTTAATCTGATAAAAAGGTATCTGCAAAAATAGTAGTTAACATCATGGTTAATAGTGAAATAATGACTACTTTGCCTCTGAGTTTGGGAACAAAACAAAGCTGCCTCCACCATCACCATTTAATTCAGCGTGGATGGGGGAATCCTTGCTGGGGCTGTGTGTGCATAGGTTGAATGCCTGAGAGCTGGTGCCTTCTTAGGTCTTCTGGCAGATGCCACCTTTGCCCCACCCTAGTCCCACCCCTTATCCTAAGCAGTGCACTAAAGTAATAAAAAGAAACGATTGGAGAAAAGATTGGTCAGGATTGAGTAGAACTGCCATTATTTGCAGAAGACATAGTTATGATTCTAGAACATCCAAAAGAATCTTCTAATGGTTTCTGGATATGGAGCTAATATACAAAAGTCAGTTGTATTTGTACACATTAGCAATAAACAAATAAAGTCCCATTTATAGGACATCAAATGCCTAGGAATAAATCAAAAAATGTGTAAGACCTTCACACAGAGAACTGCAAAAGGAGATGTAAGTAAATGGAGAGGGATATACTATGTTCATGGAATAGAAGATTCTATACTGATAGGTGCTGGCCGGTGAGCCCAGATGGTTAGAGCGTAATGTTATAACACCATTGCTGAGGATTTGGATCCCCATACTGGCCAGCTGCCTAAATAAATAAATAAAATATCACTAAGATGTCAAAGGATGGCTACGTGACTGAAGACTCTGGAAGTGGCATGGGCATGCTGTCCTGCAGGAACCTGCCAGTCTGTACGCCACGTGCCACCAACATGCAGTCCCGTTTGACTCACTGGTGGTTTCTGGCTGTCTTCAGCACTGCCATGAAAAGGTCCGGAGTGTTCACTTAAACAGAGGCTATTTACGACAGGTCCTATTCTCCCACAGTCAGAAGTGTGCAGTGTGGGGACAGAGGAAGGGTTGAGGACATGTGGCTCAACCACGTGGAGCCGACTTCAGGGCATACATAGTGCAGGGAGAAGGTGGGGTGTTGTGCCTGTCCGTGATTGTGTGAGTTGTGAACAGTAGTGTAGACACGTTTCTGTAGAATAGTAGCCAAGCATTGCTGAGCTTCGTACTTTAGATAATCCGACCCCAGCCTCTGTAACTTTCTTCTCCGCTGTTCACTCGGGAAACCCGCTTCGTTCCTCCTGAGAACACTTGATTCTGGGCATAAAGGTTCAGTTTTTTAGGACAGTTTGGCAGAGTATCTTTTTCAATTTAATTTGCTTTTTAATGTATTTCAATTACTCTTTCACCATGTGGACTTCTAAAGCTTCGTTAGTGTTTTTGAGAATGAAACTGTGATGTTGAAAAATTTTTCGAGATATATAGACCATAAATCACAAATGAATTATAGAAGATGGTAGTTGTTTCCAATAAGAAATTATTATTATTATTATTATTATTATTGTCCTTTTTGTGACCGGCCGCACTGCGCTCAGCCAGTGAGCGCATCGCACCGGCCATCCCTATATAGGGTCCAAACCCGCGGCAGGAGCGCTGCTGTGCTCCCAGCGCCGTACTCTCCTGAGTGCGCCACGGGCTCGGCCCAGAAATTATTTTGATAATAATGGCCAATGAAAATTTCCCTCAGGGGCCAGCCCGGTGGCGCACTGCTATAGTGCACCGCTTGGGAAGCGCGGTGGCGCTCCCGCCGAGGGTTCGGATCCCACATACAGACCGGTTCCCGCTCACTGGCTGAGCGAGGCGCGGGAGCAGCACCGAGGGTTGCGATCCCGTTGCCGGTCCCGGTCCGGTATGGGGGCGACACTGAGGGTTGCGATCCGTTGCCGGACACGGAAAAAGACAAAAAAAAAAAAAAGAAAGAAAATTTCCCTCAGCAATTGCAGTACTGTTGATTAAATGTGATGGGTTGAATGGTGACCCCCAAAACATATGTCTATGTCCCAAGCCTCAGAACCTATGAATGTGATCCTATTTCCTTTGCAGATGTGATTAAATTAAGAATCTCGAAATGAGATCATCCTGGATTATCCAGATGAGCCCTAAATCCAATGACCAGTGTCTTATAAGAGACAGAAGAGAAGACACAGACACACAGGAGAAGCCACGTGAAGATGGAGGCAGAGACTGGAGTGATGCAGCCACAAGCTGAGGGACCCTGGAGCCACCAGGATCTAGAAGAGGCCGGAGGAATCCTTCCCTGGAGCCTCTGGAGGGCACGTGGCCCTGCCACATCTGGATCCGAGACCTCTGACCTCCAGAATTATGAGGAGAACTTATGTTGTTTCGAGGCACCCAGTTTGTGATCTTTGCTATGGCAGTGACAGGAAGATAATACATGAAGAAAATACCAGAATGTATCCTCACAGGGTGACTTCAGACAGCGCAGGTTGTAAGAGGACCACCTGCAGCTGAGTCTCTATGGTGCGGTTATTAATGAGTCATGCTCACATCTGTTCTAAATTGTTTTTCTAGGGGAAAAATTACAGCATTTCCGTACAGAGATAAGTATTTATTTAACATGGGGCCTGAATTATTAAATAGAGAAGGCTAAACATATGATAATTCGAATTTTTATTTTTCGCGTTTATAGAAGCAGAATACAAATCGAATACGTCTCAAAAAGGTTTCTTGAAAGAAAATAATCTAAAACTCATTTCCTCATTCTCCTTTTCCGCCTTATAGTGTGTGGAGCATTTGCTCTGTTGGGGTGGTGATGGGAGGTGGCTGTCGTGGTGGGTGGCGAGGCAGGGAGGAGGAGCCACAGGTGTGTTGCATAATTCACAGAGACTGGGTCAAGGGCACAGGGTCTGGTCGTCAGGTGAAAGGCAAGGGGGAGCTGAGGTCCTCCTTCTCGGGAGCCGCCAGCTGTGCTGTGTCCCCCGTTGGTCAGAGGCTGCCTGTCATACGTCCGTGTTCCTGCTCGAGACAGGGGTTTTCCTGTCTTGGCTACACAGACGAGCTACAGTTTAACAAAGTGGATATTCCCAGCAAACACCGAACTTCCTCAGTTGGACCTGCCTTTTGGGAGGGCCTTGCCGTGGGGGTGTGCCCATCTGTGGGTGCCGCACAGCCTCAGCAGACCCGCCCTGCACCAGGCCCTGGCCCAGAGGCAGGGGTGGCATATGGGGACAACTAGTCAAGAGAGCAGTGTCATGTCCCACGTCTCAGAATCTGTCTTCAGGAGGTAACAGATGGGTACAAAGATCCCCCTGAAGGAACCTCATGAAGCATTGTTCCCAAGGGTAAAAAAGGAAACAACCGAGGTGTACACCAGTAGGACCTCTACTCACTAATTACGAGAGCAGTGTCATGTCCCACGTCTCAGAATCTGTCTTCAGGAGGTAACAGATGGGTACAAAGGAACCTCATGAAGCATTGTTCCCAAGGGTAAAAAAGGAAACAACCGAGGTGTACACCAGTAGGACCTCTACTCACTAATTACTGCATATTCAACATTTGAAAGCTGTAGAGTTAAAAATCAGCATTAAAAGGTGGTCACAGTATGTTAAGTGGAAGATGTTCTATCCAACAGTGCATACATTACAATTCCAGTTCTGTAAATGTATATATATGTTTATGCATAGAAGAGAGACCCAAAAAACAGATGTTAGGTTGTTAACCGGGGTTGTCTCTGTGACGGGTTCAGCCTCTCCATCTGCCACCCTCCAGGCCCCCATCCCCAGCTCCCTGCCATAGGCCAGCACGCACACACGCTAAAAGCTCCCAATGTAAGGAAATCGTTTACTTCTTATGAAGGGGCCTGGGAGGGAGAAGCCTTGGGGAGCTGTATCCTTGGCTCTCAGTAAGGACTTGGAGTCCCTTTCACGTGCCAGATACAGTAAGGTGCATGGGCAGCCGGGCTCTGGGCAGTGGTCCCGGTTGTGTGCTGTCACAACACCCACACAGCCCGGCTTGGCACACACGCCATCCTGGGGTGTGAAGCAACCCTCTGTCTCTGAGGGCCGCTCCAGGACTGGCAGGACGATTGTCCCGTTCCTAGTGCTCGTGTTCTGAGTGTCTGGTGTTTGCCGGCCTGATGCTTGCCCGGTACTGTCTGCCTATTGTGGGGTGCTGGCAGATTCTGGAGTAAAAGAACTCTCAGCACATGAGTGTGGACAGGGCTCTTAGTAGATCTGGCAGAGGGTCTCACTGACATCACCAGGACCTGTGGTAACAAGGGTCAGTGCCCTTGGTGTTGCTGCCTAGTGCTGTCTGGTTGGTGCCATTTCCAAGTCTGATGCTCCTGTGGTGGGGGCCAGAGCAGCAGAATGGCACTAGGGACCACTGGGGGGCCTTCAAGTGTTTGAGGCCGGCTCCAGGGCACACTTCAGAGAGACGGTGGGGAGGTGTCTCTACTATTGGCCCATTGGTTATTTTTCCAACAAGACTTGCCAGTTCCATCCAGTGAGAAGGGCCCAGGACCTCGAGTCCTCGCTCCTCCTGTGCCTCTGTGCGCTCCTGGCCTGGCTGCTGGGTGGTGTTTGTTTTCTTGTCTGCATCCCAGGGAGGTGCTGTCTGATCCAGCACTGTGCCCGGGCTGTGCCTCACCTGGCACTCTGGGAGGGGTCTGCGGGAAGAAGGGAAGATTTGAACAGAGAACATGTGTGCAGGACGGCTGTCCCACCCCTGCTGCCCTCCTCTGGCCGGGACTCTGGTCCGTCCTCCGTGGAGAGATGACCCTGGGCCTGGGCCATCCCCTCGGCTTTGCCCGTGCTCCCCGAGGCTGCTCCGCGTGACAGCGGGTGGCCAGTCTGTGCAGAGGGTGGAGGGGCCGGCCACCCTGACGCCCTGCGGTCTCTGTCTTTCAGTGAACGAGTTCACGGTGATCAGGAAGAAGTTCAAGTGCCCGTACTGCAGCTTCTCAGCCATGCACCAGTGCATCCTGAAGCGGCACATGCGCTCGCACACCGGGGAGCGGCCCTACCCCTGCGAGATCTGCGGGAAGAAGTTCACACGGCGCGAGCACATGAAGCGGCACACGCTGGTGAGTGCTCTGGCGGGGGTGGGCGGCCTGGGGCCAGCTCTGCGTTCTGGGCGGCAGGCCCTTGATGGGAGGTGAGGAATGCCAGGGCATCCCAGAAACGGGGTCTGCTCTGCAGCGGGCAAGGCAGTGAGAGGCGTCAGCACAGGGGCCTCCGCCCTGCTCTGCCACTTTGCCCACCTTCTGGCCTCCTTGCTCTAGCCAGGCCTCTACTTGGACCCCCCAAGCCCTCCGCCACCCCCAGGTCCCTCGCCCCACCCTGTATTCAGGTGGTGACCCTGGTCTCTGTGTCTGACGATGTGTCTGTGCCCACCATGCCAGCCTGGAGCTCAGCACCTGGCAGGTAGTCGTGGGGTGACGGATGTTGGATGGATGAATGTGCTTGGTGAAGAAATGACAGAGAAAAGGTCTCCTGGAAACAGGGAGGCAGATTTGCTAGAGAAAGCAAGGAGAGCATGTCCCAGATGGGTGAGATAAACAGCAAGGCCAGACGGAGCACAGACCGCTTGGAGGGTGAAAAGGACCACCCAGACCCAGGAGCCCCTGAAAGCTGGGGGAGCCACAGGACAGCATGCTGAGGGGTGGGGTGCAGGGCCGTGGCGGGCTTGGGCTTTTAGCTGCTTGAGGGCAGGTGGTGGAGGCGGCCCTGGTTGTGGGGTGTGGGCTGGGGAGGGTCGCTGGGGCAGTGCTGTGAGTTCAGGAATCTCAGGAGTGTCAGTAGCTGTCTTCGGGGTGGGAGCTGGGTGCACCGGCTTGTCTACGTGACCTCCCCTCCCCCGATAACACACTGACCTTTATGGGCAAACCCACCAGGAGGTGAGAGAGGTCTGGAGGGACCATGTTGTGGGGGGTGGGCTGGCTCTTGATGGGTGGCCCTCCGTGCAGTGAACAGAGCCTGCCAGCCGGGCCACCCACCCTCCACTTCCGGGGTCCAGTTCAGGTTTGACTTTTTGTGGGGTCCTCCAGTTCATCCTTTACACTCGTAGGTTTGGTTTGTTTCTGATTTTCCAGCCCAGTGTCCAGTACTGCTTCGGGGTAAAGACACCTCAGGGAGCTCCCTGGAGGGTGACTGAGCCCTGGATTTGGCTGGGACCTTGGGCCTGGATGAGGGGATGCCTGTGTCTCAGGGCGGACATGGGAGCCAGGCGGAGCACGGTGCTCTGGGCTGGCTCTGGCCTTCCTGGGTGTCCCCTGCAAGGTGGAAGACATGAGGAGGAGGAGACCTTGGAGGGGCCCTGGGGCCCCAGTGGGGGCAGACCCACGTCCACTCAAAGCTGCTCAGGTCTCGGGGAGCCGGTTTAGACCCTCATTTTCTCTGGTTGTACATTTGGTTTTGCTTAATCCAGTTAGTAAGCCATCAAGACTTACCTCACAAAATGACTCATAAAAACTCAGAGGGGGGGCCAGCCTGGTGGCGCGGGTTGTACATTTGGTTTTGCTTAATCCAGTTAGTAAGCCATCAAGACTTACCTCACAAAATGGCTCATAAAAACTCAGAGGGGGGGCCGGCCTGGTGGCGCGCTGCTACAGTGCGCCGTTGGGAGTGTGGCGGCGCTCCCGCCGAGGGTTCGGATCCCACATACAGACCGGCTGCTCACTGGTTGAGCGGGGTGCGGACGCAACACCGAGGGTTGCGATCCGTTGCTGGTCACGAAAAAAGTAAAAAAGGAAAAAAAAAAAAAAAAAAAACTCGGAGGGATACATACCTGTATGCCTACGTTTTCCTGTTCAAAGAGAATATCTTGTTTCTTACACTAATAGGTGCTGAAACATTTAAGCAACATGAATTGTTATGTCTTTAGCAAAACTGCACTGTTTCAGTGAATGTATGTTTTAGGAAATGAGCCTCCTGCTGGCTCACCTTGGGTAGGGCTGGGATCTTTATCCTGGGCTTCACGGGAGCTCATAATTCCCTGAAAGATTTACTTAAAACGTATGGGGGCTTGCCTTTTTTGGAGAAGGGGATCCGGAAGTAGACCTCCCCCTTAATTTCTCTGGGGTCCCTGACCGTGCCTTGGAAGGCAGCTCCGCGGCCGACTGACCTGGCCAGACCTCCAGTTTCACCACCCAGCATTTGTGGGCACTGACGGTTCTTCTTCCTGGCCCCTCCATGCGTCCGCTTGGGACAGAGCAGCTGGGCACAGGCTCCACTGTGGTGGCCGGGACTGCGGGTCTGTGCGTGCTGGCATTGTGCTCCAGAACCACACCAGGGCTCGGGGACAGGTTGCCATGGCACCCAGTATCCTTTCCTCACTTCCTTCCAGAGCATTTGTCTTTTCGGACCAGTGCTTGACCTGCTCCCGGCCGAGAGGCGCCTGTGGCTCCCTGAGACACCCCTTGCCACCTCCCCCAGTGTCCTGGCACAGCCCTTCACTCACATGGGAGCCCCAGGCCAAGGGGGGTCTCGGTGGGCACACTGGCTCCACTCCAGCTCTCCCTGTGCCCGTTTGTGCCAGATCAGCCCTGTTGGGGACACAATTTCCACTGTGTCTTGGTCTTGAATTTTTGTTCTTTTGTTGGAAGGAGGGTAGAGGAAAGCCTTGGGTGTAAAATATAGCAAAGCAAATAAACCAAAAAGCCCAAAGGAATGGTCCTGGATACCAAGTTGTCTGGCTCTATTCCTACAATTAGTGCATTTGGACTTTCAAGGAAGCCTGTGGCGGTGGTGCCCCAGCTCTGAGGGCCACCAGCTGTCTGCAAAAGCCTCACATCCCCCACGCGACAACCTATCCCAGGCCATGCTGCCAACCTCACAAATTGTCCTGAAGACGCTCCATCAGCAGACATTTGAGTAGTTAGGTCTTCATGGTTCATGGTTTTGTGGAAGTTAGTGGCAACCCTGCCTTTGAAGAGGGCAGGTTTTGAAAGGAGAGGATGGGCCATTCTTGGTCTTTGGGCCCATGGGTTTGGGAAGCCAAGGACAGCGAGGCAGCCACCATGACCACCTGCCAGGAGGTCTTTGCAGGGACAGAGGAAACCCTTCCTCTCATGATGTAGATGGGTAGTATGTTTATGATGATGACCCTCCAGGAGTGTGTCACCTTTGTGTCCTGCCCACCTGAAGCCCCTCTCCCGATGCAGCTCCTTCTCCATGATGGGCACAGCACTGGCCGAGGGCCACCGCTGTGTCCCTCCCTGGCTGCACACCTCCTCCTCTGACCCTAATTGCTAATCTCTCGCCTTGCCTATCTCAGTTGACCTCAAAACATCCTGAGAGTGGGGGGCTTGCCCCTTTCCATCTACAAGCACATGGGGGCAGGAGGCTGAGGGGCACCCACAACAGCCAGGCCGGAGTGTGGGCCACCCCTGCCCCCACCTAGCTCTGCGTCCTCCTGGACTCCTTCCCAGTGCCTCTCCATCTGTCATTCTCTGCCCGTGGCTCCCTTCCTGACCCCCACTGAGATGCCACTTGGACTGGGCTTCCCAGAAGGCAGATTGGGGCTCCCCATCGCCTACCCCGAGGACCCAGGCCAGAGCCGGCTCTGTCTTCTCACATCTCTGCCTCCGCCCGGCAGCTGTGCCAGCTCCCTCCGGCTCTGCACAGGGTGAACGTCTGGGGCCCAGGCATGGGAGGTGCTCAGTGAGCTCCTGTCCAGAGAGGTGATCCCTCAGCCCAGTCTGTCAGGGGGTTTGGACAAAGCCAAGACCTGGCCCAGCTAGGGGCTGGAGGGCTGGGGGAGAGGAGACTGCTACCCTTAGGACCCAGCATCCCCTGGGGACAGGGCTGTGTTGTGGTGCCTCTGCCATGCAGGCTCTGGGCAGGGTCCCCACAGCCAGGGCTCAGGGGTATGGGCAGATCTGTCCCCCCCAGGTCCCCGCCATGAGGCTGTCCCTCCTGGATGCCCCTGCAGGGCCTGGCAGTGACTAGACACATCTTCACCCTGAGGGGACCTCACCCCTCACTGACTGCCCTGTCCCCCAGGTGCACAGCAAGGACAAGAAGTACGTGTGCAAGGTGTGCAGCCGCGTGTTCATGTCCGCCGCCAGCGTGGGCATCAGGCATGGCTCTCGGCGCCATGGCGTGTGTGCTGAATGTGCCGGACGTGGCATGGGGCCACTGGACCGTGGTGGTGGCACCGGCGAGGGCTCTCCGGAGGCGCTGTTCCCTGGCGATGGGCCCTACCTGGAGGACCCCGACGACCCCCGAGGGGAGGGCGAGGAGGAGCTGGGAGAGGACGAGGACGAGGACATGGCCAAGTGGAAGGACGATGTGGGCCTGGCCCACGAGGACGTGCTGCTGGGGGATGATAAGGATGATGAGGACTCGCCACAGGGGCCCCGCAGCCCCGCAGGGGAACCCGACAAGGACTTTACCTGGATCTCTTAGGGCCCCGCCCGTCCAGGGCGGTGGTGGCCACATCGCCTTGTGCACCTGTGTGTGCATCTCAGTGGTTCTGCAGTCACCTGGGGACAGGGCCACGCTGACCCCTCTCACAGCCCCTCTTTCAGGTCCCGCCCATATTCTGCCTCCCCCTCCCCAGAAACCAGCCCTGTGGGCCAAGAGGCAGGCGCAACCCCAGCGGGGACCAAACGCAAAGTTGTGAGGTGGGCACAGGGTGGGTTTGAGCAAAGTAAGAGCATGTGCTCCCAAGTCCTCAGCAGGTGCCTGCAGACGTGTGGGCGGGGCCAAGCTGTGCCTGGGGCGCTTCCTCCAGGACATCAAAGGAGCTCCCTGCGGCTTCCCTGACTTGGGATGACAGCCCAGTGGCCAGGTCGAGGTCAACAAGTGTGGCCCCAAGGCCACAGGTCTGAGTATGTGTTGGGTGTTTTGTGTGCACCTGGTGCAGCCATGGGCACTGCTCAAGCCCACCCTCTTGCCTTCCCCGTCCCTCCACCCCTCAGCAGCCAGGTCACTGCCTGTGGCCACCGCAGTGGCCCTTTGCCCTCATTGGCTCCGGCTGCCCTGTGGTAGCCTGTAGAACACAGGTCCAGTGCACGGCAAGTCCTGCAACCCTCTTACCTCTGGGCTTTGGTGCTTAACACAACACAGCTGCAGAACCCCCACTGGAGCTGAGGGCCCCAGGTGCTATCTTCAGGTGGAAGCAGCCCAGCTGGGGCTGAGGTGGCTGGGCTCCTCGCAGGCCTTGGCCCCCCATGTTCCCCACTGCAGGCTCACACCAGGTGTTCTTGGTGAGGCCTCAGCTTCCCGTTCTGTGTGCACTTCCTTGGAGAACCTCGGCCGCCTTGTCTGCTTGGGCTCCACCCATCTCTCCATGCCCACGGCCCAGCCCGGCCATGCCTGCTGACCCTCCTGGGCCGGGCTGCAGCCGGGCCCCAGCCGTTGCTGCTGCTAACACTGGAGGTGGGAGTTCCTAACTGCTGCGCACTGCTTACGCCTTGAGGGGCAAACAAACTGATAAGTAGTCAGAGACATATCGAGGTAGTTACGTAAAATTACTTTGGCATTATTTTCTCACTTGATACAATTATGTAGGGTTGTTTTTCCTTTGTCGTCGTCCAGCCATCTTGCCGTATTTCCAAAGGAGCTCACGACATGTTCCTTTCCTCCAAGTGAAAGTGCACTGCCTGACTTTGAGGGTCCAGGGCAGGCAGGCTGCCCAGACTCTCACCTGCCAGCCAGCGTGCTAGCCTGTCCTCTTCCTTGCCGGGGCTGTCTTTGACAGCACTTCATGTGAAGACATTCCTTCTGTCACTGCCTCCTTCTGGTACAAGCCCACCGGCACCATGCACTTTGGGTGTTGTGCTTCCACATGAGAGGTGGAAGTGGGCTGACCTCCACCCTCCCTCGGGGCCCCCCCCCCCCATGCAAGGACTCCATGGGGTGCGAAGCTTTAGCACCCAGCCGAGAGACAGCTTTTATTTTCTTTTTCCGGGCTGTCAGCCAGAGTGGCATTTACCAGGTTTTCTATGGTCACGTCTACCCTTTCTAGGGGAAAAAGGAAAAGCCCACAGAATTGTAACTGAGGTTCAGGCATTGTGTGAAGCACTGTCCCCTGATAATGCACCCCGAGTACCAGCTTCCCTCACCGGCTGCTGCCTGGGGGACCAGGGCCATGCCGTCCTGCAGGTCCTGTGCCACACGGGAGAAGTCACAGCTTTTGTTTTTGTTTGTTTAAATCAGCCCCCACGGGCCAGCCTGTGGCTCACTTGGGTGTGTGGTGCTGATAACACCAAGGCCACGGGTTCGGATCCTATATAGGGATGGCCGGTTTGCTCACTTGGGAGAGCGTGGTGCTGACAACACCAAGTCAAGGGTTAAGATCCCCTTACTGGTCATCTTTAAAAAAAAATAATAATAATAAATTAGCCCCCGCTTCCACCCATTACAAGCGGGTGCTCTGGGCGGAGTCTTCCTGCACACCCCGTCAGCTGGGGATCCATGAGCACCTCAAAGCGGGAGTCCTTAGAAGCAAGAGGGCCAGATGCCCCTCCACACGAGTGTGGGGACAGCAGCGGGGCAAGCTCACTGCCCACTCTCATTGTGGCAGGTGGGCTCTGGGGCGGCTCCAGTGGGCAGTGCCCTGAGTTGCAGCCGAGCCTCCACCCCTGCTCAGGCCCCTTTGAGGGCTCTCAGAACTTTGTACCTCCCCCCACTTTTTAAACCCCTTTTCTAAACAGACTTACTTTCTTATAAAATGCACTTGGCAGCCAGCCAGCCAGACCTTTGCTACCAACACGTGTCTCTGGGTTTTGTACTAATCCCCACCTCTCAGGCCATCCTGCCTAGGACCCCCAGGCCACCTCCCCCAAATGGCACCTCTGCCTCTGCACTCAGGACATCGTGCTCTTTCTGACTGCCAGCTTCCAGTTCTGACTGCCTTTGCTGACCTTTTTGGGGGTCTCCTGTCGGTGCCACAGAGGCATCTCCTTCCTTAAACCAATACTGTACTGGAAAACCAAGGTCCCGATTCCTCTCCCACCACCTTCCCCGAGTTTGCTGTGTGGCAGGTTTGTTACTCTTGCTTGGAGACTGTAGTTTCAGATTCAGGCAAACACATCCATCACTCAGGAGGCATGGAGGGAAAGGACACGTCATGAAAGGTTTTTTTTTTTAATGTGACTTTTTTTTAAAATCAGTGTTCAAACTAATAAATATTTTTTTATGAAGAAGAAAATATGTGTAAATTGCATTTCACGTTTTTGTTTGTGTCTGTCTGTATCTTGGTGTTTGCAGCACCAGAGTGGAACACAGTCCATTGCGGGGGGTGGTATTTGGAGGGGTGGGGGCAGGGAAACCACATGATTTTTGTATCAAGCTCTGGATCCTGACCAGGTTGTATATTTGGACTCTGGGTTTGGGGAAACAGACACTGCCAGGACTCAATAGGGACCTGACTTAAAGGACACAGCTTACTGCTTCCAACTTTGCACATCTTCCTTTTTAAAAAAGAAAACTCTAAGAAAATGCAAAAACTGGAACTTTTTGCAATATTATGAGAGATAATCTTATTTTAGCTCATTTTGTGACATGTGCAACTCTTAAGAAAGCCATACTTAATGGTGATTGTTTTTTTATTTTTTAGATCCTATATTGTGTTTTGTATGCGACCCTTTTAGAACTACTTGTAGTGAGGGTGCTGTGTGTGTGCTTTTCTTAAATATTTATTTTTTCAACATGCTTTCAACCTGTCAAGAAAAACAGACAAAAAAAAAAAAAGGGCAGTGTTTGAAGACTGTTGAGTTTTTTCTGGAAATAATCTATATTATATTGGCTTTATATTAATTATTATAAACCTGTGCTTGTTATTGGAGATGTGTTTATTATCTGGGGGAGGAGACTTTTTGTAATCAGTTGGTGGGAAGTCACGGCTCTGTTGTCCTGCTTCTCTGTAGCCACAGGACAGGTAAACATTACCTTCTCTATAGTGGGTCTTGCGGTTTCTAGTCTGCCTAGGCGTACTCCAGGCCTGCCTGCTGGTTTCCTTTCTGTGACGGGATTAGCTTAGACATTCTTGCAAAGTGATCACTTTCAATAAATTGGAAAATTGCTGCTCCAAGCAGATGCCTCTTGTATGTTTCAGACTGTCCCCTCCCTCAGCCTCACCCTGGGTGGAGGCAGCCAGGGGGTGACCACCCAGCCCTCTGTGGCTTGCTGCCAGCCTCCCACCAAAGGGTCCCAGTCCCATGGCCTTCCCCCCCAGACAGCAGACGCAGCTTCTGGAAAAACCCCAAGTCTTTAATTTTTCTCCTCGCCTGGCATGGCCCAGACGTGAGACACCTGAGCTTTGCAAACATGGTAACATTATCAGCCCCAGGGCCCTCAAACCATCGCATTAAGTGCGAGCAGGGGAGTCCCCTCCCCAACACCCCTCAAAGTGCATTGCAGACTGGCCCCTGCAGCTGGGCCTGTCAACATCCTTGGCAAGTCCAGGGGCCGACAGGCAGGGAGGGCAGCCACCCCAGGGACCAGGGGGCAGCGCTGTGGTTTGGCTTTAGTGCAAAAAGCTGGTTTCTTCAGAGGCACTTTGAGTGGTGGGACCTCCTACCCCCACCTGTGGGGGTTCAGGGTCACCAACTCCCACCTCCCCCCTTAAAAAGTAGACCCTGCAGCTGGGAGAGGCTAGGCCCTGGGGCTCTCCCAGAGCTGCTTTAGCCCCAGACTGTGGATAAAGGGGTGGGGGAAGGAGAGGTGGTAGCTTATTTTCTCCTTTAAAAAGCCCTAGAAGCCAGGCATCAGCACCGGTGGGTGGGCTCAGTCCAGGAACCGCTGGCAGGCTTTCTTCCAGCGGCAGGCCGTGCACCAAAGGTCCCGACGGTCCATGCCGTACACCTTCCTGCACTTCTTGGCATCACCACGGGGCTTCCTGGGGGATACACAGGGGACGTGGGGCATTGTTGGGCCAGGACCCTTCCTGCCTGACACCTGCCCCAGCCCCTCCTGCCACACGCACCTCAGGTTGGCTCTGACCTCTGTGGCCTGTGGCTCCAGGCGGGTGGGTGGCAGGCAGCCCTGGGGGGAGACACAGCCAAGACTTCACTCTCCTCCAGAGCACCCTGAGCTCAGTCCCCATCTGCCACCTGTGGCCCCACCCACCTGGTAGGCATGGTCATTGTGGCATGCCCGAGAGGGAGCCACAGAGCTCAGCATGGGGGACGGGGGCAGGGCCAGTGGTCGTAGCAGGCTGGACAGGGCTGGGGGCTCCAGCAGCTCTGGCAGCTCCAGGCGGGGGAAAGCGGGTGGCACAGAGGCCATGGGGGACACCGGGGTCAGGCTGGATAGCCCATCGGTCAGAGTGTCCACACTAACGTCCAGCTCTGTATAGTAGAAGTCTTCCTCACCATCGCTCTGTTCTGTGTCTGCCTGCCTCCTGCTGAGGACACAGCTGCTGAGACCCGAAGAGATGGCCTGGCCCACTCCCACCCCGGCCCAACCCCCAGGCCCCACCGCACCCCAGGTGCACCAGGCGGATGTGTCTCTGCATCCCAGACGCTGTGCTCAGCACCTTCCCGCAGCTCTTCCACAGACACTGGAACATGACCTGGACTGAGCTCTGGGGTGACAGGGACCAGCGGTCAGGATCAGCTGCCTAAATCCTCCCCACCCCCCCAGAGAGCTGTCTTCCAAGCTCACCTTCCTCTTCCTCAGGGCGGGCTCCCCAAAGAGAAACTGGGCTGCCTCGGGGGGCAGCGGGGGCGATGGGGTGGACGGAGAGGACTGGTCACTGGCCAGGTCCCAGCCCCAGTCTCCACTGTTGCTGCTGCTGCTGTAGCTGCCTGGTGGCTGCACCAGGGCCTCCTTCCAGGGTGCAAGACTGGACTCTGTGGGGACATACCATGCTCAGGACCTTCGGCAGGCTCAAGCTGCTCTGCAGAAACTGCTGCCTGCTGACCCCAGTGAGCTCCTATCTCTGAACTGCCACCTGATCATTTGTTCCCAGGTGAGCTTGGGAGGCAGAGAGCCTCTTGGAGGAGGTTTTGGCCAGAAAGAATTGGCCTGAAGGCCTTGGGGAGAAGCCTTCCCCACACAGGAAAGGGTAGACACACATTCCATGTGGGGCCAGCGGAGGGTAGTGAGGGAATTGGGGAGGTGGTGCTGGGGCAGTGTGGCCAGCCAAGTGGGCCTGGAAGGCCTGGGGCACCACAGCTTGACCTCAGTGAGGAGCACGGAGGATCCAGATATCCATTTGATTTATTTTACTTTTTATTTTTTTGCAGCTGGTCAGTATAGGGATCAAACCCTGGATCTTGGTGTTATGAGCACCATGCTCTAACCAACTGAGCTAACTGGCCAGCACCAAACGTCCATTGTAGAAAGAGGACTCAAGAGGCATGTTTGGAAAGCTTGAGGGCTCAGCTTGTCCCACAGAGGCTGGGTGACTGTAGGGTCCAGAGGGAACAGCGGTCCTGGGTCCTGTCCCCAGCCGTACTTCTGAGCACAGACCTCTGAGTCTCACCTGGGCTGAAGGCTGCAGCCGGGGCCCCCAGCAGGAGAGGACTGGTGGACAGGCTTGTAAGGGCTGCGGCCGCCATGACCTCGTCCAACCGGGCTTTTCCTGGGGTTGCTCTGGAGGAGATGGAGGCAGGGTGCAGGTGGGGCCCGGCTAGTGCTCTAGGCCCCTCCCCTGGGCCAGCATACACGTGCAGGCCTGGGCACGTGTGCACACACCAGGCTGCCTCACCCTTGGTGCGCTGGGCGGGAGGCCTGGCTCCACCCCCAGCTCGGGTTGCAGAGCCGAAAATCGCCAGGAACCACCAGGAACAGAGCCGGGGTCTCCTTGAAGCCTGAGTTCTCTACAACCCAGCCTTTGTTCCACCGTAGTTCACTCAGACCTTCGTGCTGGACAGGGGTCTGAGGCCCCACCGGTGGGGCCGGGCCGGGCCCGGCCCTCCCCCCATCACACATTAACCAGGGTTGTGCAACGGCAGCTGCAGGCCTAAAGCCAGGCCTGGGAGGGCGGGAGCAGCCAGCAGTCGGCAGCAGCCGGGGGGAGATTGGGCTTGAAGCACAAGCGGGTCCCCAGGTCCCAGTGGGCCGGACTAGAACCCGCCCCTGCCCGCGCGGCCAGCCCGAGGCTCAGAGCACGGCAGGGGTGGGGAGGAGAAGCGAGCGGTCAGGAGCCTCAGGGACTTCCCACGCCGACTGCGCAGCCTCTTCTGCGCGGACACTGACAGCCACCCCCTCTCAACCCGGCGCTCTGGCCCCCGGGATAAGGCGGGCGGTCTGGGACCAAAGCACATTTAACACTTCTGCCCCACTCCCAGAGAGCCGGACAGCTGGAGGTTCGGGACCCCGACCTGCCCTCCTCCGAGGCCTCCCTAGAAAAGGGGCGGCAGGCACGTCTCCGCGCCCCACCCACCGACGCACGTGCGCACACGCCCACCTGGCCAGGGGAGGCGGCCTCGCGATCAATGAACTTATGCTTA